GAAGGCGTCTGTTAATCATCTTGATAACAAGAGTAATCCTGCTATATAAATTGATATTTAGTAGCTATTGATAATTCTGCCTTAACATGACATAATATAAGCCCCAGCATATTACAGGGGTCTTGATCCATGTGTGCTGCTGTAGCAAAATACCTAAGGCTAGACACCCTATAAAGAGCAGAAATTTAATTCTACTTCTTGAAGGTGAGATCAGGCTACTATTGGGGTCAGTATCTGTGAAGGTCTGGTCTCTTTATTTCTTAGTGCCTTGTGGCTGTGTCCTCTAGAGAAAATGTTCACATGACAGAAAGGCTGAAAGGCAAAGGGACAGAAGAGACTTATTCCAGGCCCTTTTATAAAGTAATAACCTTCCATGAGTGGAGAGAACACAAAACCTAACAAAACTCTGATAAAACCTGCTGGTTGATAAATTTATTGTGATCCAATAAACTAGACAAATAAATGATGACACTAAACCAGAGTTCTGACATCACAGCATGCAGATGAGCCCAACTTGGCTGCCTTTTTTGTCACCCTCACCTTCCCTGTGCTTAAATGGCAGCTGTGCCACCTCATCTGCAGCCCTGAACTTATACACACACACACACACACACACACACACACACACACACTCCCGATATGCTTCCCAAACACCTCCTTGCTCCTCAGCCTTGAAGGACTTCCTGACTTCCTAGCCAACATCAATCACCTTTAAGGACCATATAGACCACACACCCACGTCTCCCTTGACTTTCCTTGACAGTAGATGAATCTTTCCCACCCATCCTGTGGCCATGCCTGGATCCTTATGTGTTGTATGTTCCAGGAAGGTCCAGGAGGCTCATAAAACTCAGAAAGAAAGGAAACTTCACATGTCTGGGAAAGCTGGAAGTAAAAGACTCGGGGGACTCCTCCCCAAGACTTAGAAGTAGTCAACACTTACAAGAAGAGTAGACTGTGGCCTGCTGAGCTGCCTGGGGGAGACCCTAGGAACTATCCAGAGCTGCATGGGGGAGACCCTCGGAACTATCCAGTTGGCTGCAAATCCTGCAGAGAGCTCCAGGGTTGCAGCTTCCTCGAGTGGTCACTAGCTTTGTTTCAGTGACGCGGCTGCTTTTGAATTATCCCTGCTCTGATAAGTAACCCCTCACCCACTCCCTGTCAATAAACTCAATACATTTATTGGTTCCTCTGGTGGTTTGAATGAGAATGGCTCCCACAGGCTCATATTTTTGAATGCTTGGTCCAGTTAGTGGAACTGTTTGGGAAGGTTTAAGGGAGGTATGACCTTGTTGGAAGTGGTGTGTCACTGGAGAGTAGGCTTTGAGTTTCTAAAGCCTATGGTAGGCCCCCTGTCTCTCCTCTCTCTCTCTCTCTCTCTCTCTCTCTCTCTCTCTCTCTCTCTCTCTCTCTGCATGTGTATCTGTTTCTGTCTCTCTTTATCTGTCTCTCTCTGTCTCTGTGTGTGTTTCTGTCTCTTCTGTATGTGTTTCTGTGTGTCTGTCTCTCTGTGTCTCTCTGTCTCCCTCTCCTCCTCCCTCCCCCGCCTCACTCTGCCTACAGATCAGGCTGTAATGTTCTCAGTTACGTCTCCAGCACCATGACTGCCTGTGTGCTGTCATGCTTTCCACCAGAATAACAGGCTAATTCTCTGAAACTATAAGCAAGTCCACAACTAAATGTTTTCTTTTATAAGAGTTCCCTCAGTCATGGTGTCTCTTCACAGCAAAGAATAGTAAGACAGAAGTTGGTATCAGGAGTTGGCCATTGCTGTGATGGGCCTGACCATGCTGTTTGTTAGAGAAATGTGGAAAACTTTGGAAGTATGGACTAGAAACATGGTTGAATGCTTTAATCAGGGCCTAATGGCCCATCCTAATGGGGTATAGAGGACAGTATTGTTGAAGACAATGTGGACTACATAGGTCCAGTCCAAGGGGTTTCAGAGGGGAAGAATATTAATAAGTGGCATAGAAACAGTTCCCCATGTTAGACTTTGGTGCAAACATGGCTTTTGTCTATTGTGGGTCCTCCATCTTGGGTAAGGAACCATGTGTGTTGAGTCTCCCCAGAAAAAGCCCACACACAAGTCAATTGGCCTTTGATAACAGTCTCTTCACCCATCACTATAATAAAGTAATTGGAAATGGTGGGCTGAAGTGAGAGGGACTCATTTCAGCTCATGGCTTGAAGGGATATAATCCATCATGGCAGGGAATGTAGGGAAGCGTGGCCAGATTGTGTGCTAGCAGAAGAGCAAACCTCCATACTCACATCTCAGCACAGAGGGACAGGAAGCAGAGCAGCGATATAAACCTCAAGGCCCTCCCTTCCCAGCAACCTACTTCTTCCAGCCAGGTGCCACCTCCTAAAGGCTCCGTAGACTCCTGAAACAGCACCGCCAGCTGGGAACCAAATGGTCACACACTTTGAGCCTGTGGTGAAATTTCATATCTAAAACCTCCAGGAGAAATACCACCTCTTAGCCTAAGATGCAACTTCTGTTTATTTTTGCACATATCAGCTCTCCTTGTATATGATAATTAGCTGACAGGGATGCAAATAACAGCATTAATATTAATGAGTGTAGACACTTCACCTAGAACAGCTCAGCAAATCCTTAGGAAAGTCTACGGAGCGAGCTCAACCATCCCTCGCCCCCCCCCAACCTGGAGTCCTCCTGAGCCCTACAAAGGGAACCAAGACATGACGGATTCAACCGTTCCACTTTCCAGCCAATAGCAAGCAAAGTCAAAAGCATGGAAGTGTCCCTGAGTGGAAGTCAGCCACATGGAGAGATGTGACTAGTCACAGCAGAACAGGATACATGGGATATAAACTGACACCTCTAGGGGATGCAGGAGACTCAAAATGTTCTAGAAGGGGGCACTAGAGACATAGGAGGGAGAGAAACAAACCCCATATGGCCTGCATGATATCTGTCCACATGGGAGACATGATGTCCCACCATGCCGTGGTCATGAGAGAAAGGCTATAGAAAGGACCGCTGTCTGGCCTGCTATGCACTGATCTGTTCTCCTCTGCCTTCATTCATTTGTATTCAGCCAGCTCCTTCTTTCCCAGTTCTAGTCTATCCATATCCATCATGAGAGAGGATATGAAACCTCTCTTGAAGAGGCCAAAGAGAATAGGATCATGTCAATAAAGACCCCCTTGGGAAATGAACCCTGATGCAGGAGACAAGATTTCCCCCAAAGCCTCTTAGCAGCCACATTCTCAGGATTCATCTCCAACTGCTACTCATTACGGGGTGCTAAAATTAAACTCGAGCCAGAGATGCATTCCTGCCTGCTTGTATACAACCTCCTCACGGCACCCAAGTAGCCGCAGGTGATTCATCCTAAGTGGGCTTGTGTTCCCATAATACTTTATTTGCTAAAACAGGCATGGACCTGGATTTGGCCCAAGGACTGTACTTAGCCAACCCTGGCATCCTGTCCTGGTTCCACCTTTCTGACAGATAAGCACATGTCACTCCACAGCTCTGCCCCCCCACCCCCGGAACTGGCACCTGCGTTTGTGCAGTTCCTTCAGCATCCAGTACCATCTCATCCCCAGGCTTTGGGGCTTGTAGGGAATTGGGTGTTATCAATTATACATGGAGCAAATCACATGGGCCCTGAGAGAAGATCAGCCATGCCAGCTTCATGCAGGTTGAGCTGGAGAGAATGAATTCTCTAGGGAAAGATGCAGGAAAACCCTGCTTCCCCCACATACACACAGAACTCGGGTTGTCCCTTAACAAGTGAAGTCCTGCCAAGCTGTGGCTGCTACTGAGCCAGCTGTGGGTCACTATGATGAGACTGATCTTCAAAACCAAGTTGATTGGCAGCTGAGATGGAAGCACTTAGGTCACATGTTCAACAGCTAGCCACGGGTGGCCCAGAATATCTGAATGTGGATTCCCCCAAATTTGGGTCCTGTACAGGAAAGTTCCAAAAATATTTAGCATTTCCAATGCACACCCACCCTCACTATGCTTTGGAAGTTCTGGAACTCTACCCATGATCTTGTTTTCAACTGTGGTTCCCGAGTCTAATGAGAACAGAGTCCCAGACAAGCTCTGAGGGAGAAATGTCATCCCTGCCATGCCAATGGGGCAGACATGTGGGCAGTTTAATGGGCTCTGGGACTCTGTCCAGCTTCAGCCAGTCAATTTCCAACAAGGCTCTTTCAGTCCATCTGCATCCTAAACTTTGCCAATCCTCAGGGCCACCTGGGGACTCTCAGAGCAGGCCAACTGACAAGGGTCTAGTTCCTGGGGACCTAGAGCCTCTGTCCCCAGCACACAGTCATGACACACTTCAATGAAACCATCTTCCCAAAGTGTAGCACTTGGACCTGATATGAACACAGATGGAGACGATAAAAGACAAGAGGTCCCCAGGAGCCACTCGGCAACACCACAAATGAAAAGAGCCTCATCACAGTAAACCCTAAATGGCTTCCCCCAGGAGCCCTTATAGAAAGCAGGTAAATAAAACGCCGCTTAAGTACATTTCCCTTGTTCAAATAGTGCACACTGAGTGTGCAAGGGATGATGGGCTTAAAGGCACTTCGTGGGTTTTTTGAGTGATGTAATTTGTTCAAAGGAGAAGCTGGAGCATGGCTCAGTGGTTAAAGCACTTGCCACACAAGTGTGTGGACTGGAGTGCTGATCCCCAGAGCACCATGCAAATACTTGAAGGTGGCCCACGTGTTATTCTAGCCAGAGAAGGCAGAGACAGGAGCCCCAGATCAGGTTGGCTCAAGAGACTGGAAACTATTGGTAAGTTCTGTTTAACTGAAAGACTCTAGCACGTTGGATACAACGAAAAAAGAGCAATAAAGGATGCTTCCTGATCTAAGTCTTAGAGCCTCTGCATATACACACACTCAGGGGCACCCACACATCCCTAAAGGTGAAGAGGAATACAAACAAAACCAAATCTCAAAAGAACTTCCTTCATGGCTCATCTGCACGAGCCCTGGTTCCTTACCATGGTGAGCGGGACGATGCCCACAAAGGTCGTCTGGCTGATGAAGATCTCAGAGACGAAGAGCTCACTCATGGAGTCTTCCACGGGATATTCTACCTGCCAGGTGATCTGCTGGGCCCCAGCCAGGCCACTGCTGTTATCAACTCCAAAGTCCACTTGTAGAATCTCATAGAAGGAGCCGTTTGCCCTGGAAAACAGACGTACAGCAGGGTTTAACATAAAAGCACGTGGTTCTGCAGAAAACAACGCACCCAGTAAGCTGACACAGTTCTCTTTGTTACTGAGGAGTTAGAGAGGGTGGGGACTCACTCAAGGCTACCCATGGGTGGCAGCACCTCAGAGTGGGTGTGCCACCCTCCCCTAAAGAAGAGATGCTCTTTGTTGCATAAGAGCCTGTGTTAGTTTGTTTTCTATCGCTGTGACAAGCACCATTACACAAAGCAACTTGGGGTGGGGGGCTGGGGGGATCTCAGCAAACAGCTCACAGTCCATCACAGAAGGAAGTCAGTGTAGGAACCTGGAGGCAGGAACTGAAGCAGAGGGCCATGGAGGAACACTGCTTACTGGCTTACTTGGCCTGCTTTGTTATACACCCCAAGACTACCCATCCAGTGCACACAGTGGGCTAGGCCATTCTACATCAACCACTAATCGAGAAAATGCCCACGCCAATCTGATGGGGGCATTTTCTCAATAGGGGGTTTCACCTTCTTAGAGGACCCTATCTTGTGCCATGTTCATGCACACACACACACACACACACACACACACATACACACACTACAAGTATAAGAACCCAGGTTTGTAGCCTCTCTGGACATGCCCCACATAGCTCTCTGCCCTGCACACCCCCCCCCACAGAACCATCAGGCCACATTCAGGGAAAGCCAAGAATTCTCTGATCCAGGCTCCGCACCCCTCCAGTCAAGCAGGCACAGACATGTTCTGCCTATATAGCTTCCCTGTAACTCATGAGTCCCCGGCTCAGACTCTGCAGGATTTACAGAATGGTGATGATTTTGTGGGCTTATGGGATCAACATGAGATCAATGGTTAGAAAGGATGACACAGGTTACATGGATTATCACAGAAACTGTGGCTGATAGGAGGATTACACTAGACTTTCCATCAGCCTCAAATTAGATTAAAGATAATATACAGAAATACCACCTATCTGCCTTAATTCATGACACAAACACACCTGCTCACTCACACCCTTACCCATCCCCACACACATACATACACACTCTTGCACATAAGGGCTCTTGGAAAATGAAGGCTAGCTACGGCACTGCATTTATCAAACACAGAGAAGAATAAAAGGCCATCGGCATGGGTCTGTGATTGGATCCCATCCTGTGAGTCTCTTGCCAACTCCCCGCATCTATCTTGACTGGGACTCCAGGAGGATGACAGCAGGGAAGCTAATTCCCCAACTTCCCACAACCTGAGTCCCCCAGGCCAGCTTGCACTTTCTCTGCTGATGAGTCTATTTGGACGAAAAGGCGCTCAAGACCTCTGTCCTGCCTCATAAAGCCTGGTGAGCTCTGTGTCTGGTGTACCAGTGTTCAGTCTGTGAGGAAAACACTGGGGAAAAAAGAACTTGTTGCTGCTGCTTCACCAAAAGAAGTTTTACCATGGACAGCTCCTCCACACAAATGATTTCTAGAAAACAAGGCATGAGGAACACTCAACTCGAGGCTGTCCTCCTGTCTCAAGAGGTTCTAAGATGGCACTCAATACTTGGATATGGAATGACACTTATCAATGGGTCTCCTGTAAGGGATAATCTATCCAGAAAGATAGAACCTTAGCTTTCTCGCAGAACCAAGGGGCTCTTTCTCAGCAATGAATAATGGTGAATACCTTTGAGGAACCAGAAATGGTACAAGGAAGAAGGCTCCATGTGCTATCCTTGCTAATGCTGTGTGTGGGCTCTGAGGGGAGCAAGGAGAAAAGCCAGTTCTGTCAGGTGAGACATGACGGTCACCCTCTAAACCATGTACTGTCCCAGCCTGTGAGTTGATTCAGATGCAGAGGCTGCCCCCAACCAGCAATGGGTGGAAAGGTAGTCACGACAGAGTCACAGCTGTGAGGGTTTTATTTGGGTTTTGGTTTTTTTGTTTTTAAGCATTTTCCCTCAAACCAGAGAGAAACCTTCTACTTCAGGCAGCTGGGGTAGCTTCTAGTAAGTTCATTTATATGGAAATTGATGCATAACTATTAATTTTACCTGCTCCTGTGCCACTCTTGATAAGCTTTGAAAAACTGAGGAAAGAGCTCACTAAGTCTCGGTTTAATAATGGTGGCTGCTACTGAGGAACCAGCATCCAAGTGCCAGCCATGAGGTGGGTATAAGCAACTAACAAGTAGCCATGAAGTGCCCATGTGTGGCTTGTGGGCAAGTGAGCGGGCATGAGTGTGTATGCATGTGGGGTGGGATGTGGGGGTATGGGTGTCGGTAGGTTTGTATAGGTGTGTGTATGTGGGGGTGGGTATAGGTGTGAGTGGGCATATGCGAGAGTGTGAATGTTTGTGTCAGGGGCTGGAATGTGCAGAAGTGTGTGTGTTGAGCAGGCTCGGGCATAGAGTACCTCGAGCTGGAGCACAGGTCTCCTTGCAGAAGGACTTTCTTCCTGAAGCCTCATCTCTAAGAGAAGCATCACCCTGTAGTACAGGCTAGACCCATCCCTAAGTCCCAAGATAAGGTTAAAGTACTCAGTATGACTGTGGCTCAAACACGTTTGAGAAAATGAGTCATTGGGAGGACCAAGCCATCAGCTAGTCCCTAAGGATCACATCCAGACATGAGTCCCTGTATCACTCGCAATGTTGACCGTGGTGATGTACAAATGGCAGGAGGAAGGGGGAAAGGAGAGAAAGAGGGGGGAAATAAAAATGGAGGGGGTGACATTCTGTCATTTACATGGGCTTTTTTTCTCCCCACCAACATCTAAATAGTTCTGAGCCAGCAAGCAGAGATGGTGGCAATGCCCCCCAAATGAGATTTTTCTAGAAACGAGATCCCACAGATTGTGGCCTTAGGTTTGCTTCATCTTGGGACCCTTTTCCTGGGCATTAATATAAATAAAAGTGGGCCAGAATCAAACCAGGTATTCCAGGACGGGATCTGCTGATGATCTGTAGCAATCACAGTGTAGGCCTGGATGGACAGCTGCTTCAGACACACACACACACACACACACACCCTGAGGACAAAGGACTGTCCTGCCACTGCTCTGATAACAGTCAAATCAGCAAGCTCAGCCACACTCCTGGTCTCATTTCTCTCTGTGATAGAAAGCACGCTGGAAAAATGAGGGAGAAATGGTTTAAGCAGCTCACAATTCCCGGTTCCAGCCTATCATTGTGCAGAGGTCAGCGTAGGAAACTCTAAGCGGCTGGTAGCATCACATCCCGGTGGAAAGCAGAGAGAAATGGGATAGGGAGCCCTGGGGAAAGCTAAAGGTACAGTCAGGGGTGGATATAATCAAGACGCATTGCATACGCATGGAAAACTTCCAGAAACTAATTTTGTTCAATTTTTTAAAAGAATTCAAGAGATGACAATGTGCAGCCATCACTTTAACTTTTTACTAGAGGTGATGAATTACAATAGGAAATACCAGAGGTGGGTCTGGAAGGCAAGGCCTTGGTGAGGAGATGACATTTGAGCCAAGACCTAAAATATAGCTGGGAGACAAGCATACCCTCCGCAAACATTTGTTGAATAAATGAGTGACTCTATTTTAAGCTTCTCTCCCCACCCCCTCCCAAAAAAAAATAACGGAAAAAATGTGTCCCAAGCATCAACATGAACGCAAGTTGGTATGTAAAAAGGAACAGCCATTGTTCAGCGCCATCTGCTTGGTGAGGTCTCATTACAACTCAGCATCATCTCTGCAGCTCTCTTGCCCTCCTCTGAATCTGGCTGCTCTGTGGTTTTTGTTTCTGACATACTATTATTTATTGCTGGTGTCGATTGTCATAGACGGATATATACTCAGAGGCACATAAGTATCACGAAGGCAAGGGGAGTGTTTTTTTTTGGGGGGGGTGCTGGTTTTCCTGCTAATGTGTCCCCAGAACACCGCCTGAGACACTGAGTGTGTATCAGACAAACCAATGAGTCAATGAATAGCCGGCAACTTTGCGGGCCTCCAAGGAACACACATTAAGTGAGTCCCAAGGGACTAGGCCGCAGCCACCGGGAACAAACAGCTCTACCATGAGGGATGGTTTGCTGAGCAAGCCTGAGCGGAAATGTACATTACAGAATGGGCCTGAACTGCCATTCTGTGGCAGTTCACATGTGGCATGAGTCCGGTGATGTTTCATGTGTCCACAGCAGGTGAATCCACACAGGCAAGAAACAAGGGAGCGGTTGCCAAACATCAGGCCAGGTGGAGAATGGGAATTCATGGGTAGTTTCCCTTAGTCCGATAAAAAATTCCCCCAAATCGTAAACAGTGATGGTTCCAGAAATTTTCAAATAGGCTAAAGACCACTGAACTGCGTAGTTTAAGATGGCTCACACCTGTTATCCCAGACTTGGAAGGCTGAGACAAGACCATTAAGAGTTTAAGATCAGCCTGTGCTACAGAATGAGTTCCAAGACAGCTAAGGCAGCAGAGTGAGGCCTTGGGGATGGGAGAGACAGACGGAGAGCTAGAAACAGACAAAAAGATAGAGAGATGGAGACAGAGAGACAGACAAGGTGGAGGGAGTGAGAGAGACAGAAAGACAAAGACAGAGAAGATGAAGGAGAGGGAGGGAGGGAGTAGGGAGGAGACGGGGAAGTAAAGAAAGAAAAGAAGTATTTTACTTAAATTTTTTATTTTAAAAAATAAACTCACTATCTCTCTTATCGGGTTTGTTCAGCTTTTGTTTCAAACTTAAAACCATTTTTCAGGAACAATTATCTCCCTAAATTCTCTATCTGCCTCCCGGATCAGCTGCAGCCAGGCAGCTGCATCCAGGCAGCCAGCGGCTACCCTACTGCCCTAGCTGGGGAGAAGGATGCTAGGTCCCTCATTGAGACATTGTTTCTGCTTACCAACATTTTCCCAGCGCTGGAGACAATCAATCCCGGTAATGAGCAAGCACTTTGGACACCTCCACCTCCTCGGCTGCCAGAGCCGGGCCGTTTCCCACACTAACAAGTCACCTCACTTCCAGCTTATTTGA